CTCTCCCAGTGACTTACGAAGTTCAAGGACAGGACACCAAAGATGTTCCTACATTAACCTCTGCTTCATCAACCAGTACTGGACAGGGCAGGAGGCCAGGCCAGTTGGAGTGACTAGTTCCAATAATCTACCACGTCTTCCAGATCCCTTTGGTGATCTGCCACATTAATGAGCTTCTGTTAAAACTCTGTTCCCACTAAAGTCACCTCTAGAGCATCTCTCTGATGTATCAGAATTTCGTTTTTGAATAAATGCATATGCTTTCCGATCTCCCAGTCCCTGGGCTGTCAGTAGTTTTGAAGTTCTCTTGTAAAACTACCGCTTTGAGCCTTTGTGCAGGAAACGGCCAAATAAATGCTCCAGTTGCTGAGAAAGAACAGACACGCAGGCCACACAAGACATTATCTTAAAGCCACCACAAAAGACCTGTTCCTGCTTTATTAAAAGTGGCAGACAATGCCGGAGCTCTGGAGCGTGGGGCCAAGGAGCTTGCAAGGGCAATCCGCCACCGTTCAGCGCTAATAGGCGACGAGTTCTGATATCCCAAGAATTTCTAAATGGTGACTGCTTTCCCTTTCCCACAGCAGATACCCAAATTGATTCTGCCGACTTCAGGCACAATGTGTGAAAACCTTGACGGACAGAGACACCTAAAGGCTAAGACATCTGCCAAGCGATTGGTTAAACAGCTATTCATTTTGAAATATATCTTCCAGGAGCAGAATAACAGAGGGCCACTGTAGTGTGCCGCCCATTAATTACACAGTTGACAAGAAAATTACCCTTCAGATCAACATTAGTGGAGACTTGGCTGGAAAGGGGGGAGGGCGGACCACGTTCACCAGGGTTATCTGAAGCCCTCCTTGAGCAAGTCCCTGTTGGCTCAGGAGGGCGTGAGGTGGTGTAGACAGTCAGCCCTCCCTACCTGGGGCTTCCACAACCACGGATCCAACCGACCCTGGATGGAAAACAGGGTCAGTCCTGTGGTAGTTCCATCTGTACCAAACGTGTAAGACTTTTATTCTTGCATTATTCCCTAAGAATACAGTATAACAACTGTTTACATAGCATTCACACTGTATTAGTGATTATAAGTCATTTAGAGATGACTCAGACCATATGAGAGGATTATGTAAGTTCTGTGCAAATATGATGGCACTTTACACAGAGAACTTGAGCACTCTTGGGTTTGCCCAGAGCCTCTCCCTACATCTCCCTCATCCCTATACCATGGGATGGCTGCATATCATACATAACATGTCACCAAACTAAAAGACCAGCCCAACAGAAACTCCAAGGATCCCCTGACCTGATTCTTCAAGAACCAGCCAGTCAGGTGGCATGTGGGAGAGTGAGAGCCCCGGGGGAGATCCTGGGTCACCCGGGCATGTTTATTGAGCCTCACATCCCTCGTCCACAAGAGGGGAATGTCAGAATGTCATCAAGGACCATTACAAAGGGTAAACGAGGACACAGGCAAAGCACCTAATGCATACAGGAGCTCCGGGACTGCTTCCTGGAGACCTGGTTATAAGGAAACCCAGGAGACCACCTGGCTGGACACCTTCTCCTCCCACCTACTGCCATGGAGCCCAGCCTGAGAGACGAGAGTGGTATCTGCCTCTCTAGAAAGCAGGGTCTGGGCACTGTCTGCTGCTGCTCCCCAGCCCAGGAAGCTGTGCCCCGCTCCAGGCCCACCTGCCGTGAGGTTGCAACCCCCTCATCTCCACCCCCTCCACCCTTCAAAGAGACTGGCTGGCTCCTCTGAGTCCAGGTCAGCTCCTGGCTCCCGTCTCAACCTCCACCAACAGAAGTTTTGGGGAAGCTGGGCATGGTGGCATGTGTCTGTAATCCCAACGGCTTCATACAAGTTCAAAGCCAGTCTCAGCAACGTAGCAAAGCCCTAAAGAACTTAGAGAGACCTTGTCTCTAAATAAAAAAGGGCTGGGGATGTGGCTCAGTGGTTAAGGGCCCATGGGTTCAATCTCTGGTGTGTGTGTGTGTGTGTGTGTGTGTGTGTGTGTGTGTGTGTGTGTTTTCAGAATTTTTGTCATTATTTCATAGAAGACAATATAGTGGATTTATTTATATAATATGCACACTGCATTAGCTATTATCAATAATCTAGAGATGGCTTAAATAGATGGGAGAATATGTGCAGCTTATATGTAAATCTACACCGTTTTATATAAAGGACTTGGGCATCCATGGATTTTGTTATCCTTGGGGGCCCTGAATCCAATCCCCCATGAACACTGAGGGAGGCCTGTGTGGGATTTAATGATTGTTGAAGGTTTAGGAAAGACAAAGTCTAGGCTAGATCCAGGCTTCTCTTCTGTGCCAGTGGACAGACAGGGTGCCATTTGTTAGACCACAGTCTATACAAGTATTTCCTAGTTGGACGATCATAATAATTCCAGTTATTTTAAATTCATATTCTGCCAAATTTCCACCCCTTTATACACCTTCTCCATGTGCTCAGCCAGCTTCAGTCTGAGAGTTTGGCTACCAACACTATTTATATACTAAAATGTATTCACCTTCAGTTGAATTAAAACAAGGTGGAATTTTGAAGAATTCAACTTTGCCAGGGAATCTGTAGAAAACCTAGTTATCATGAAGACCTGCAGAGATTGCTCACAGCGCACCTGGCAGGTTGCGAGGTGAGAAGCTCCTCCCTCGCTGCTCTCAGCCTGTCCACCGCCCACCACCCTGTTTCCTGGCCTTGGGTGATCGCCTACCATCTGGTCCTGCTTCCCAGGGAGATGGGGGCCAATCAGCACTCTGTGAGGGCCAGAGCCGGGAAGGAGGGAGTCAGACCCTAAACACTGGAACACCTACCCCTGCACTGCTTATGGGGAGAGTCCACGGCCAAGGGGGAAAAGGCCCAGCCACAGAGACGAACTACTGAATGTGCTGGTCAGCTCTTCATCCCTGTGACCAAAAAAAACCCGATGAGAACAACTCAGAGGAGGAAAAATTCATTTTGTCTCACGGATTCAGAGGCTCAGTCCATGGCTGGCTGACTCCATTGCTCTGGGCCTGAGGTGAGGCTCAACATCATGGGGGAAGAGCGTGGCCAAGGACATCTGCTCAGCTCATGGCAGCAGGAAGCAGAGGACAGAGAGGGAGAGAGAGAGAGAGAGAGAGAGGGAGAAAGGA